AGGGAATTGTAATAATTGAGATACTATTAATTGTATATTGTGTTGAAAGCAGAAATGGTTAAGTTGTGGTTTGGAGGAATATATGGGGGAAATTATTTGGTTTATTATTATTGGTAAATATAATTAATTGATTTGTAAGAAATTGGATTGCATGGAAATAATTGGAATATTCATGTTCATATTGATAAATATACAAAAAAGATAGTTATATAACTAATTGATTTATATTAAAATGTTGAATTTGTATTAAACAACTGTATTACATAATTACATAATTAACCAATGTGAGGATGGATATAAAAATAGATGACAATGGGAAGGGGTATAATATAGAATAGAAGGGAAAAATTGAATTTGATTAAGATTAGAGATGAGGATGAAGGCTAATATTGTTTTTTTAAAAAAATAGATGAGGAATAAATATGGCAAAAAGGAAATATAGAAATTGTAAATTTAATTGAAATGACTAAACACTGTTTAAATTTGTGAACCAGCCAAATATTCTGTTCAAAGAAAATACATTGTATGTATGTATGTGTGTTTCTAATTATTGCTATTTATTCATATTTGTTCTCTTTTATTCTTTAAAGTTTAACAATTCATTCTTTATCTTAATATCTTTATATTTGTTTGGGGTTGGCTTTCTTCCCTTTCATCTTTTTTATTGTACAGCAATCTTTCTCCTCAAACCTACCACCTCTCTCTTTTCTTTCCTTCTTACTTTCTCTTCCCCCCACCCTCTTCTTCTCCTCCCTACTTCTTCTTCCTTTCTCCTTCTCCTCTCTTCCTCCCTCTCTTACCCTCACTCCTACTCTAATTTCCCTTCCCTTCCTTCATCCCTCTCTATTGCTGTATCCTTTTATGCATATTATTACTCAGAGGGCTGAAAAAGTTATTTTTGACTGGTCCTCGCACTTTTGACCAGTCCTCGAACTTACGACTGTCCTCACATTTTATGTTTTTTGCCCTATCTTATCACCATGGTGAAGAAAAGCAGTTGTGAAATGAGTGACATGGTTGTTAAGAATGCTGCACGGGCATAAATATGAGGATGGTCATGTGTGTGAGGACCAGTCAAAAGTGCGAGGACCTGTCAGAAATGACTTTTTTCAGCCCTCTGGTTAGTCCTTTTGTGCATATGGACTACTCAGAGGGCTGAAAAAGTTATTTTTGACTGGTCCTCGCACTTTTGACCAGACCTCAAATTTACGACTGTCCTCACATTTTACATTTTTGCCCTATCTTGTCACCATGGTGAAGAGAAGCAGTTGTGAAATGAGTGACATGGTTGTTAAGAATGCTGCACAGGCATAAATGTGAGGATGGTCATAAGTGTGAGGAACAGTCAAAAGTGCGAGGACCTGTCAGAAATGACTTTTTTCAGCCCTCTGAGTAGTCCCTATACACATAGCCATGGCCACCCGGTCACATGACCAGCTAGCCATGCCCACCCAGTCACATGACCTCCAAGCCACGCCCAAAAAATAAGCCACGCCCACAATGGTGTCCCTCTTTACCAATGTTAAAATCTAGTCACCTTACAATAGGTAAAACAATCAGCCTTAGAATTGGCAATGAAAATACTGAAGTGATGGATTGTTTCTGTCTTTTAGGTCAACCATCAACAGCAAAGAAACAACAGATAAGACTAGCATTTGAAAGAGCAGCCATGGAGACTTTAAAAAGATATTCAAATGCTGGGATACACCTATTCCTACAAAGATCAGAATTGGACAAGGCATACTTATGGAAGTGAAAGTTAGATCCTGAAGAAACAGGATAGGAAGATTATTGACACTGTTGAATTTTGGAGCTGGAGAAGACTCCTAAGAATACTGTGGATGGCCAAGAAAAGAAACCAACTCAGAGTTCTCATTCAAGGTCCAAATGACCAGGCTCAAATTATCCTATTTCGGACGCATTATGTGAAGATCTAATTCTCTGGAGAAGGCTCTATTACTGGGAATGGTGGAAAGAAAGCAGTAAGATCGATTGAGTTAGTTACAGTGGCAATAAGTACACTGTTGGAAGATCTGAAAGACTGGGTTACGGATATATAATTGAGAAAATTATGCAGTCACTAGAAATTGAAACAAGTTGATGGCACTTAATCAATCAAGAATGATTACATGGTCCTACCTAGTAAAGCACATGCAGGGAAATATTCCTATTGAAAAACTGAAAAGAGACTGAATATCAGCAGTATTTTTTCTTTGTCTATTTTGCTTCTGGGCAATATAAATATAATTTATAAACGTTTATCTCATCTATTCTTCTTTCTATGCATTCAGTTTTGCTCCTTTATTTTCAATCCTTCCTTATATTTCAGCTTTTATCCTATGAACTCCAATATGCATGAGACTAAGTCTGATATTCTTTTCAGGCAGAAAGACAGTATATACATGAAAACATAAATATTGACAAGTATGGTTTCCAATTAACATGAAATTTTATTTTATTCTAGTTTGGACAGGCCCTATTTCAGGTACTATGTTCAGTTCTGTCCTTGTACTTTAAGAAGCAATTAGAGAAATAGGAAAGGTTCAGAAAATTGCAACAAAGATGATTATGGGACCAGAAACTATCATATTTTACAGACTATAAGACGCACTTCCCCCCCCCCAAAAGTGGATGGAAATGTCGATGCATCTTATAGACCGAATACGGCCCTGTTTTTGGCCTCCCTCAGCCCCCCCCGTGTCCCATTTTTCGCAAAGTTTGGGAGGCCTGCAGAGTGCCCCTGGGGGCCGGGGAGGGCAAAAACAGGACGTGGGGGGGTTTGGGAGGCCAAAAATGGGCCAGTTTTTCACAAAAACGGCCCGTTTTTTGCAAAAATGGGACGGCAGAGGGTTTGGGAGACCTGCAGAGTGCTCCTGGGGGCTGGGGAGGGCAAAAACTGAATGCGCAGAGGCCAAAAACTATTTTTTTTCTTGTTTTCCTCTTCAAAATCTAGGTGTGTTTTATACTCCAGTGCATTTTATAATCCAAAAAATATGGTATGTCCTTTGAAAAGCATTTGAAGAAGTATGTGTGTGTGTGTTAATGTGAGTGTGAGAAAGAGAGAGAGGGAGGGAAGAAGGGTGGGAGAGAGAGAGAGAGAGGGGGAGGGAGGGAGGGAGGGAGAGAGAGAGTGGTGTTAGATCTAAGGAGGAAGAGAGAGAGGAGATAAAATAGCACTTTTACAGGTTATTGTCAGAGTCAGGAAGGCTCCACAGGTGGTAGCTGCGGGTTAGGGTTAGGGAGCAGAAAGCTTTCCAGCAGGTGCAGCTGATGCCTACAAATGCGGCACTGCCCCTCCGCTTTCCAACCCCAAAATTCCAGAGTGAAGTTGGAGCAACCTTTGAGTGCCCTTGACAAAATCTGCAACAAGAAGTAAATAACCCAGGCTCACTGGGGGAGGGGAGGGTGTCACCCAATGAACCTCAGCTGGAGAGACACGGTGTACCTCACCTGCTGCCCCCTTGCTTAGAGGGTGAAGCTGGAGCACTCAGCCTTTAGTCGGGGCTCCTGGCATTGGGTGAGGGTGCTGGGTGAGCCCCGCTTTGCAGGACGAAGTGGGTGGATGTAATTGCAAGTCCAGCCCCGGCTATGGTGAGGAGAAGCAACTGCTCTGGGCACAGGGGCCGAGAAGGAACTAGAAGGGCACAGTGGCTGGACTACCTTCTGGCCCACTGGGTTCGGTTTTTTTCTTTGGTTGTGGGTTGGGGTGGGCCAGGGCTGAGGCGCAGGGGCTGGCCTCTCGCCATCTCCAGGGTAGCCCTACAGGCCAAAATTAAACACCTTGTGGGTCAATCCTGGCCTACAGGGCCCCGAGTTTGATATATCTGATTTAGGTAGTTAAGCTTAAAAGATAATAAGAAACGTAATGGCATAATCTCCATTACATTTCATGTCAAGTCATAGAATTTCTCTTGGTTTTAGTATTTTTGAATAATGCACATTATCAAAACAATTCTCATTCTATTGTACCGTGATTTGGGCACCCAAACATAAAATGATTACAAAAGCTGGCTAAATAATTCATTCATTCAAATACTGTGTGCAAAAGGAACAGACTATAAATGGCTTAAGCAGGTTACAACTGCAAAATGCAATGCATTAGAAATATATACAGTATAATCTAGGAGAATTTCAGTATCAGTTATAAATTCTGTATTTTCACATGTTGCAACCGAAGAAGTCATTTGTACATAAATAATGTTGCAGTCACATAGATCATGAGACTGCTATCTTCTTCATTAAAGATGATTTGATTGCTGGTACTGAAATGGTAAAATAGGCAAATAGGAACAAACATAAATTATATTCCAATAACTATAAAGAATTATAATCCAATACAGCTTTTAAAAATTTAAAATGCAGATTTCCATTTAATATTTTACCAAAGTTGCAATTACTGATGGAAGGATAGAATCTTAGATATGCTATGATAAATATGGACAGATTGAACATATTTGTATGTGAATATTGTATGAATCTGAACATTGATTCTTATGCTTAAAGTCACAGAGAAATGTCTTCTCATGGTCTCACCTGAAAAGAAATTGAAGAGTCTAAGTCACATTTATATGTCTCTAAATTTACTAAAGGATGTGAACGATGTGTGCTTGTGTTTTATTTTTATAGTTATAATGTATACTGAAGATGGCATTTAATTTCGTTGTACAAGGTGCAATGATAATAAAGTGAAGTGAAGTGAAGTGAAGTGAAGTGAAGTGAAGTGAAGTGAAGTGAAGTGAAGTAAAGTAAAGTAAAGTAAAGTAAAGTAAAGTAAAGTAAAGTAAAGTAAAGTAAAGTAAAGTAAAGTAAAGTAAAGTAAAGTAAATCAATTGAAAATATATTAGAGCCCTTTGAGAGTTTTTATTTGAAGATTCTTGGTTTTCTTGGCTTTCACAGAGAGCATAATCTTGGGGACATGATAGAAATTACAATAGAGATCCAACTGACTCTGTTGCCCAACTAAGTAGAGTGCTATTGATCTTGCACTTGAAAACGCTTACCTTACTGCTGCAGCCATGTTTCCAATAGGGTTAATTGGCAGTGGTCTAACTCCTGGGAAAATTCCTCTACTCAGAATACGAGCTCCATTTTGTATCACTCCAGGTGGAACTGAGGACAAATGGAAAGAGAAAGAAAAGAAAATACAATTAAAATTGAATGTTGCCTATCAATTTTTATATTAGAGTCGCCAGTTTCCTAAATTCACATACAAGGGAAGATGTTATTATATATCATGCACAAAGTATAGCCACAAACGCTATGAAAGGTTGCTGAAAAATGCTTACTAAGAACACAAGTTGAAATATTCTTGGTCCAAACCTCATTTCAGCAACATACTTACCAAGTGATCTAAGGTAAGAAGTTTTGGTAGAAGCCATGATACAGTGGAATAGAAAATGCATATTCCAAAGTTGAAGTTCGAGATATAATCTATTTCAAAAAGGATTCTTTGCAGAAAGGGAAAGATCCCTGCCTAGCATTTCAAAAAGAAATCACAACCAGAACTGATACTACTAAACTAGTTAGAAAACAGTAATCTGGTTGAGAAGCTGAATTTTGCAAATTCATTCAACTCAAGTATATACTGTACATTCTCTTGTCAGCAATATTCGGTGCTCAAATGGGGACTAAAAGTAATGGTCTATCTGATAGGCATGTTTTGAAGAGGCATTGCTCCTCAAATAGGGATAGATTCAGAATTATTCTGCCATGACAGGAAAAATATTACAATATTTAAAATATTAAAATTTGTAAATTTTTGAAATTCCAAACAATTCTGTAATCTCTGCAAATGCCACAAAAGGAAGGAGAAATCAGTATTCACAATCTATAGGAAATGTGCAATTTCTTGACTTCTAAAACTTTAGGGGTGTTTTAATCTGTTCCGGGCCAAATTTATTTAATTAGGTTTTTATACTGTTTTTAAATTTTGTAATCTGTGTGTTTTATCTCTTGGCTGTTCACTGCCCTGACTCCTTTGGGAGTAGGGCGGTATATAAATCTAATAAAATAAATAAATAAATAAATAAAATGCAAATTGTGCTAATATTTTCAAAATTTTAATCTTTTAAATGTATAATACATTAGTGTGGTTTGTTTTTCACTCCAGTTAATACAGTAAATTGTATGTAAAGTGTTTAAGTAATTTGATTAAATCAAAGTGGAAGAAAACCTGTTTAAATACAGTATTACAAAAGTAGAATTGCTTTTTCCCCATTGTTAATTATTTTGAATATTATTATAAATATTATTCTAATATTTATATAACAACATTTAAAAGTGTGGGATGCCCACAGATCCATGCCACGCTGTTCAGCAAGCCATCTACCTCTAATCAGTTGTTGATGTGCAACCGGGATAGTCCTACTGCCTTCACCCCTGCTTGCAGGCTTCTGATAAGCATGTGAATGGCCACTGGGAAAATGTACTGTGAAATGATAGATCTTTGATCTGCTCCAGCAGAATTATTACTGTATTTACTGTCTGCATATTTAACTACTATATGAAGGATACTGTTAGGAGGAAGAGCTAGCAGATATCTCCTACCTCACAATGGCAATTGCTAATATTCTATTTTCAGCTTGTGGAAGTTTAGCCTGTATCTAATAATGGTATTGCACTAAGAAAAGTACATTTGCATGCTCAAATGCCACACCCAACATATGCGGATCCCTGTTTTGGAGGATCTGACCATCTTAGGAAACATCATCTTTCATTTTACATGTGCACATGAATAATAGGATGGATTGACAAAAATGTAGCATGTTGGTGGTTAGAAATGCTTCCTGCTACAGTAAGGATATTTTTAATCCAACATCACCATTAAAAAAAAGTGCTAAAGATTTTATAAACTCACTCATCCACAGCAAACCAGGACATAAATATAATTATTTATTTAAATTTTATGTTAAGTTTCATGCCTTTACTAACTATGTCCATAAGCTTAACAATACACTCTATCTTAAACCTGTGTGTGACTTTAGTGTCCATGAACCCATTTTTTTTTCTTGGCCTTTAAGTTTTCTTTATTTACAAGTTGGGAGGACAGTTAAACCTGCCCCCTATCTTGTTGCATAGCCACATTAATTTGATTTCATACTGCCTAGGAATTTAAAACAAAAGACAATTTTGATGTATTAGAAAATATGCCTATCTAGGGAATTACGCATTATCAACAGCTTTAGAAAGTTTACAGACAATAAAGATCACACAATCACACGCTACATCTTAAATTTGAAATATATCGGGGTGGGCAATTAATTTTCCCAAGGGGTTACTGGGGCTGTTGTGGAGAGTCGCTGACTCCACCTGACCCTATGTGCTGCTCCGCTCGATGAGCCTCACCCCCAACCCTGTGGGCTGGACAGGGACAGCCTCCATGCTGGATGTAGCCCATGGGGCCATAAAATACCTAGGTTATATCACCAGAGTGGGGAGGCAAGGAATGTTGCGGATCCCATACCCTAGGGCCATGATGGTGAGCCTATGGCACGCATGCTGGAAGTGGCACGCAGAGCCATCTCTCTGGCCACATGAGCCATTGTCCATTGCTCTTCTGGGTTCTGGTGCGCCGGCCAACTGGTCTTCACATGCACCGGAGCACCAGCCATCTGGTGTTCTGGTACGCATGTGCGTGCGAAGACCAGCAGACTGGTGCACATACATGTGCTGGAAACCGGAAGATCATCTTCCTGGTATGCGCATGCTCACTGGGTGGCTACTCTTCTGGTTTCCGGCATGTGCGTGCATACTCCCGTTTTGGCACTCAGTGCCGAAAAGGTTCACCAACACTGCCCTAGGGGTGGTGGACCCAGAAGAAGGGCCTTCTTCGTGGTGGCCCCCTCTCTCTGGAACATCATTTCCCCACAGATTAGAATGGCTCCCACTCTAACACTCTTCCGGAAGGCACTGAAGATCTGGTTCTGCCAGCAGGCCTGGGGAATGCAGAGCGGGATGGAGCCCATTAAATGGCTCGTGTGATGTATTGTCACTGGAGTGTGGTGTTATTTTATTTTATTATTTTATTACATAATTATTCTCTTTTATTAGTTTTATTGTTTTATATATTACGTTTTTATATTATTGTAAGCCACCTTGAGTCGCCATGTGCGAATAGATGGCAATATAAATTTCCTAAAATAAATAAATATCAACAGCAATTACATATCTATGGAAGTTTCTAAAATGAGTTTTCTCCTTTTCCAAACAGTGTTAATTCCCAGAGCTTTATCAGAGACAAAAGCTCAAGTATTAACTCATTGTACATTACTTCCTTTCTAAAGGGGAGGATAAGTAGTGTATTTGGTCAAAGGTAGGAAACAGCAATTGCCAGGTCTTCGGTTTGGACTCAGTTCCCTTACCATGACTGCTAAAATGGACAACATTGTTTTTATATATTTTGAAATGAAAAAGACTATAGCAGAACTCCTCAAATATCTACCTTACAATTAAAAGACTACCTCAAAAAAAATCCTCCTAATCTAGCCTCACTCAAATGTATAATATGTCTTGTATCACATTTATATATACTGTTTTTAGACTCAATAACTTCTGAAACAGTAAGATATTCTCACCTGGGGCAGAAACCTTTTCATAGATTAGATTAAATTTCATAGATAGATTAGCCCATGAAAAGGCTAATTCACACAGATGGAGTAGTAGCAGCAGCGCACAACTCAGGCATTCATGTGAATTGTCAAGATCACACCTTTATCTATAGTAACAGTGTTGTTACTGAGATTAATACTACTTATCCAATGAATAAAATAATAGTGATTTGAATAGAAATGTGGGATACAAAACATATACAAATTAGAAAGTATTGATAAAATTAAGAAGGACTTCAGTAGTCACAGGGAATGGAACAGTGAAAGAATGTCTGCAACATAGCAGATGAGAGAAGGAAGTTTTAAGGAATAAAATATAAAAATCAGTTTTCAGGAAATGTAGACATCTATAACTTCTTGTGTATGGCTATTATTTCTGCATAGTAAAATATCAAATAAAATAGATACAATCTTGAAAAAGTCTTTATTGAATCAACATCAGGCGCATACCAACAAATGAAAAGACTAAAAAAAAAAAAAACCCATGAAGATCAGTTTAGCTTAACTAAGTATATGTCTTTCATACAACTGTTAGGCAGTAAGAATTTATATTTTGCCTTCTATGCATCTTATAGGACAGCAGGCCCCCAACCTTTTGGGCACCAGGGACTGTGGAGAAAAGTATTTCCGCGGCCTGAAGGGGATATAGTTTCACATGCTGCCTGGATCCTGCAGATGGGGGTTCGCTCGTTTGCACAGCCTGGTTTCTGGCATGCCATGGACCAGTGCGGTCCATGGACCAAGGGTTGGGGACACCTTTTATGGGGCACGTTTCAAAATTAAACTAAACCTAAACTAGTATAATAAAAAATAACAAAATCTTACAACAGAAACAATATCAAAAAACCAGGCATTCTACCAACATATTCACCGAATGTCCTATTTGAAATAATGCTTAATGTGAAGAAGAATGCAAATTGTTACAGGATATTTGAAAGAAAAAGTACTCTTCTGTTTTCATATGCCAAGGTTTTCATCATAATCTAATCCAGGCATGTTCATCCCATGGTCCATAGGCTACATGCGGCCCTTGACAGCTAGTAATGTGGCCCCACAAGATGATAAAAATATTAAAAAATAAATGCTGTTATTTATATATATTAACTGTATTATTTATTTTATATGGGGCTCAAGACAATTTCTCTTCCCTCAAGGTGGCCCATGGAAGTCAAAAGATTGGACAACCATGGTTTAATTCCTTCAGTCACTTTAAATTACAAGACACATAACAATATATAATGTCCATTAATAAATTCCAGTCTTAGCTAAATGGAGAGCAACATACACATATCCTACCCATTTGTATCCTCAATCCCTGCTTTTTTTCTAATATTTATAACAAAAATAAATAGATATACACATTCACATTAAAAAAAATAAGCCACACAATATTTTCTTTAAAAATTGGCTATAATATCTAATTAGCTATCACAATAATCTTCCAGTTACTATTGTGATTATACCCATAATATAGAATGTATACACCATTATACATTGAATAGA